CTCGCCAACAATTAAGGACCGCAAGACCTCGTCCTATGCAGAACGAAACGCTGCGACCTTGGTGTAGGGCATGCCTCGAGAGCTTGGGTTACAAGTTTTCAGGTCAAGACGCATTGGGGAGGCCGACCCATGGTTGATGTGATCATCGAGAGCTGTGGCCCGGGACCCCTGCAAACGCGAAAGCCATCTATACACCACTTTTTTTGTTTCCGCTCCTTTTGAGGTGAGATCACTGAGGAGCAGATTGCCGTGCCCAAGCCCACAGATGGTCTGCGTCCTGGATGTGAGCTCGCTTGCGGACCGTTTGCGGGACTGATGGGATCCTGCCACCGCTTCTCCGAGGCGATGCCTTCCCGGCACATCCGTTGGACTTCTCTGTGAAGAGCGAGCCTTCCGAGCTGATGTTCGCACAGGACAGGTGAATGCTGCATCTTGAGCGACCGAGATCTTCAACGTGGCAGCAGACGGCATGTTGTCAAGCTTTTATACTTTTTTTGTGGCTGGTACTCGTAGTGCAAGCTTTTGGAAGCTGCCGTGTTTCAGCGGAACTTCAACAGCAAGCGGGGTTTCATGGTCATGGGAGAGCTGAACAGAAGGAGCGCATCCGTGAGATCGGCAACGAATACTTCCGGAGCTTGGGATGCACATGGCACGGCGACGTGACGGCTTAAGTGCTTAAGTCTTGTCAAAGTATCGAGTCCTGGGGGTTTTGAAGGTTACCGGAGCGATGTCGAGTGTCATGCACATACTCGACGATTGGCATGTGTGCGATGATCCGATGCGTGCCACGAAGTGAGACCTTCTTTCAAGTTTTAGCTTTGGCTCCTTCGTTTTCATTGCCTGCTGTATCCCAGGAACAACCAGTACAAACAGGCCCTGGAGAAGTACAACAAGGCCTGGCCCATAGTTGCACTTGCATTGCTGCATTGCCCACGTTCTTGCCGTCCATGCCACTGCTGCTGTTGATGGAGGAAATCTTGCAGCATTTTAAGTCGTCACTCAACGAGAGAAAGATGTCAATATGAAGAAGGGCATGTGGAGTTCTGGTCGATGTCATGAGTCAGCCTCTAAGTCGTGCAAGATTTCCTCTACCAACCGTAACTCTAGTTCATTCTAGTTCTGCGCACCACGAAGCAAATGAGTCCATTCCTGCCCGAAGCCTCGCACGCTCTTTCAGGCACTGGCATATCTGGAGCCGCTGCTGAAGAAGCAGAACCTGAAGGCAAGCTTTGTCGGGCTTGGGCAAGCTGCCACGAGGATGCAGGTACACACAGCCGGATGGTGGTGCTTGAGCTTGATTGGAGGAATTCGCTGATCAAGAAGCCTCTACTATGCTGTGACTGCCTTACTGGAAGTTTTGGCAAGTTGTCTTTTTCTGGTGGTGGCCGGGGAGCAGCGTGTTCCATTGCATTCCACTACTCTTTCCAAGCCTGACGCTCACCTCTGATCTGAGGTCTGGTGGCGTTCGCCCGAAGGATCGCACAGAACCTGTCAAGGCCCCTCCTGCCTTCAAGACTGCTCGATCTTGGATGAAGCATGATGAAACTGTTGCATTTCTTGGTCCAAGCCAAGCACCACATTCCGGGCACATTGTAGAACTGTTGTTGAAACGCTCAAAGATACTCAATGCTCACTGATGATTCAGGCTGAGGCGGCTCTGAAACTAAACGTGCACATCTCAGTCTCACTCAGTGCTTGCTCAGTCTTTCAGTTGGTGCCGTTTGGATGAAATGAAGGCCTTGGAGTCTGGGGGGCAGCAAAGTTTCAAGACTCTGTCAGAAGCAGGAAGACTCGGAGGCAACCCCAAACCTACCATGGAACCTTGAACCCAAGACTTCCAGTTCCGAGCATCCCTTGCAATCAACCCATTCGAGAGTCCTGAGAGTCTTTTGCGATGTTCTTGCGAGGACATTCTCATGCAAGAGGCCGAAGTAGGCACTGATCTTACCTGCCCAGGTTTGCCAGGTTCTGCTCGCCCGGAGCCTCAGGTGCGGGTGCGGCACTGGATCCGCCCCAGGCTTCCAAATAGGCTCGCGGGTGGATTGCATGTCTGAAATCTTTCAGTTCGCAGCTGTTCAGCTTCCGATGAAAAGAACCTGCTGCGGCTTGATGCCGAGGCCATGGGCGAATGGCACGGTGCAATTGCCATCGCCGTCCTTCAGCTGCACTCACTGTAAAGTCAGGACATGCCGCTTTTAAAGCACAAACCCAATTGCTTTCCAAGGATGAGGTCTTCCTCGGCCTTGTTGGTAAGCATTCTCAGAAGGCCCTCCGGACTTCTTGAAGCCGAAGCTTCCACAGTGATGCATGGATGTGCAAAGCAAGAACTGCGGCGTGCTGTTTTCGCTTTCGCTTCTTTGTCATGCTCCTGCGCATGTACCCATGTTGCTCATCTGCTTCCAGACCCGTGTTCAAGCTCTGGGGTGAGCATCGTTGCCACAGGGCCTGGGTGCACTGCCCAACGACCCTCTCGTCGTGAAGGCCAGAGAGTTGAGCTTTTGGCTTGAAACGTTTTGTGGCAGCATCTTTTCTGCTGACTTTTCGAGACGGACGTTTTTTTCGTGACTTTTTGTTTTTCTGACCTATGACTCCTATGACTGAATTGCAGAACTGAAAGGACTGGGCCACCCGCGAACAATAAAAAGGCATTGACCATAGGGATAGAAGGTGGGCCACATCAGCGGAACCAGAACGGAGTGTGGCCAGTCAAAACGGAGCGACAACTACTGTATGCGTGCTTCCTGTTTTACAGCTTAGTGATTGTAAAGCGAAGCCCAAGCTTGAGTCGTAAGGTAAGGCCTGACAGCTCGTGCCGTTGCCTCGTGCACTGCCGCTCACAGGCGCTCTTCAGGCGGGCCAAGGCCCGCATTGGCCTCTCCGATGTCGGGGGCCCGCGGAAGACTGGAGAGTGTGCGCTGCTTCGAGAGGAATGCATCGTTTTCCATGAAGCACCTGGAAAGTACCTCGTTTGCTCAGGTGAGTGGAGAGATCTCCCAGTTGGAGGAGGCTATGGAGGAGTCTGTTCGTGTCTGCATGGAGCTTGTAGACGTTCTCATTCCAGTTTAGTTGTCTGGGCTGTTGCTTCCGAGACCAAAACAAGAGGAGATGCTGAGCTGTACTTCTCGCCTTCGCGGCCTGGATTGGCCCAAGAATTTATTTGACACGGGTGCAGATTGCTAGCGCGGCGTAATGAGATTGCTTCAGATCCGTACTTGAAGCCCCAAGAAAGGTGCTTAAACATAGAACAACTTCTCAGTCCAAATTTTCTTCACAAGGACAAGTTGTTCACACTGCACTTTTGGCACCAGCACATTGCAATTCATAGCGCGATGGCATCGAAGCTGCCTTCCATGGAGAGCCTCTTGGACAAGGTTGATGTTCTTTCGATGTCCTGCTGTGCGCTTGGGCCCCATTTGTTCAGTTTGCACAAGACTGCCGAGGTGCGGCGGCCGTCGCGGCCACGGCCATTGGGGTGGCCCCGGCACTCTTTCCAACGCCGGTGGCATTCTGTGCCTGATTACTTACTGGAAGGAGGCAACATCTCTTCTGAACCTTGGGCCTGTGATGCAGTGATCCGGCCAGGCTCTGTGCCTCTCCGAGAGCTCGGCCTTCGCAGCACCACCCATTCCGAAAGGCAGCCTTCGATTAGGAAATGAACGCTGGAGGGAGAGTGCAGCGACTTCCATGAAATTGGGGGGGCAATTGGAACGAGTTTTTGGATTGCAGCAAAGCAGATGTCTGTTTTCTTCGGCGGTGTCGGCATGTGGTCGTGTTGGGCAGGTGCAACCTTTCTCAGCCGTGAGACTTCAGGCCGAAGCATGCTCACAGCCACCCACCGGTAGCTACTTCTTGGCGCAATCGCTCCGGGATATTTGAGCAATTCAGGGACAGGTCGCTGCAGCATCTCGATGTTTCTTGTTGGCTTTCTTTCGGTGCCGATGCATGGGCTGTGTTGCTGTACCAATCACTGCCAGCGTTGCAGACGATTCCTATTAATCAGATGCGAAGGGTCCTGCCGGCGAGACCCGCACTTCATTTTCCCGACGCACGCCTCACCCAAAAACAGAAACTCAGTGGGCAAGGAGCTGCCCCGACAGCTGCTGTGCCGGTGGTTGGTGCTGGCGCTTCTCTGGGCTTGGCTCTGGTGCGCCAGAGCTCTCCCTTGGAACTTTCAGCTGGAAGGTTCGTAGTGTGTTCTCACTCGGCCAGCTGTACTGTACGGGTTCGGGTTCCCGTTCCACCGATACGACCTTCAAGAGCTGTGTCTCAAAGGCTCCTTAAGGGACTGTGGACGCTACGAGGCCGAAGCCTTGATTCTCATAAGCCAATAAACTTCGAGCAGGCGTATGCGGCCACACGCCCACCAGCCAAGAAGAGGCGAGACCAGTCGGGAAAGGAGAAAGCAGGCAGAGATTTAGGACATGTCGTCGGAGAGGGGTTTTGCTTCCACATCCCAGCTACAAGTTAGCTTGACTGCCAGCAGCATGACAAGAACGTCGGTGAAACAGCGCCTGCGAACTGGCTGGAGCCACTCTGCATCCGGGAGAGGTAATTGTCTTGTAGTGGCTCCCTCCAGCGAGTTTCGCTCAAGAGGTGTTGAAGTCTGTGTCTAAAAGGTTGAATGCTGAGTAATGCTTTAATCCGTAAGTGTAGGTGTTCTAAGAAACCTGGGTCCGAGGTTTGTGGGCGCGACGGTGGCCGCTGTCGTTCAGACGAGGTGAGCAATGTCCCCGATCCAAAGACAGCGGTTGTGCTTCCCCGGAGAAACGGCACTGCGCTTGCCTGGACCGGCAGGTCTTCACAGCCGAAGGCCGTCGCGCGGCGTGCCTCGGCCTTCGAAAGCCGAATCTCAAGTTCTCAGTCTCGAATCTTGGTTCGCGCCGACATTGTGGCCGCACAAGATCTTCTGACACGCCTTTGTTATCCCTTGTGACGGACAGCTTGTTGGGAGATACCATCGGGCAAGAGCGTTTTGTCGCGACTCTGTCGCTGCAGGAGCCATGTTCGAGAGATTCTCTCCTGGCTCCATGAAGGTCTGTCTTGTAGCTTTGGGATCTTGATTCCAGGTTTTCGGAGAGAACAGCACGTTCCAAGAAGGGTTCCAAGAGCACCGAACGATAGCAGTAGCAATCAAGCCCCCAGAAATCATCACTAGCATCATTAGCAACATAATCAGCGTGTTCTTCGAGACCCAGCGTCCGGTCCCACGGTGGATGGAGGAAGTCTTGCACCATTTAGCATGTCATCACTCAACTAGCCCGCCCCCCTTTTAAAAATTGTTACCGTATCGGCACAAGATTTATGTCGCTGAACCAAGTCTTGAAAACTGCTTCGCATGGCAATGTTACAAAGCGGGTACAGGGGGCAGACGGCTTTGTTTGTGTTTCGTTGCAACATTTCATCCATACACAGAAGTACTATACTCAGAGGTAGTAGAGGTGGAGGTAGAGGCAGATACAGAACTAGAAGTAGAAGTAAAAAAAGAGTAGTTAGTAGTGGAAGTAGTAGTTAGTAGTGGTAGTAGCAGTAGTGGTAGCAGTAGTGGTAGCAGTAGTGGTCGTCGTCGTAGTAGTAGTACAAGTAGCAGTAGCAGTAGCAGTAGCAGTAGCAGTAGCAGTAGCAGTAGCAGCAGCAGTAGCAGGGGCAGTAGCAGTAGCAGTAGCAGTAGCAGTCGTAGTAGTAGCAGCAGCAGCAGCCGGAGTAG